GTACGAATCGTATCCAGTCTTCTTCTCGTACAGTAGAATCAACTCCACCGACGCACCGCTTCTGTACAGCAGGGAGCTGGCAGCGGCGTCATCCGCTTCTCGTGACACCGGTCCGACATCGTGCACGCGGGAATTATCAGTCAACCAAAGATGCAGAGCACCCTTTACTTTGCCTTCCTCTTCCGAGTACACCGGCGTGGTGAGGAGCAGCACCTTTTTATTCTCGATGTCTGCCGTGATGAAGCCGCTCTGCACGCCGTCCCCTCCTTGACGGTTCTGCGAGGTGCCCCACACGCGGGTAATCGGCTCACCCGCATCATACCAATCTACCCCACACACAGTGGACTCGTAGACGTCGTAGGAGCCCCTCTCACAGGGAGCCATCGCGAGGAGGCTTCCGTCGTCGCCCCACTCCACGATGGACGGGTCCCTGCAGCCCTCACCGGTCGTTCCGGACGAAAGCTCCCACTTCTTCTTCGATGGCGTGAAGCGCATGGCCAGCAAGACGCTCTTTTTCTCCCTTTCGATCCCCTGCATGGGGAACACAAGCGTGCCATCGCCCAGCACAAGGCCCGAGCCTCCGCCACCAGCCAACTGAGTCAGGGAGTTGAGTCTTGCGAGAGCTTCAGGCTTCACCGCACGGGTCTCACTCCATGTGATTTTCTTATCGTCGCCGCTTCCACTGACACTTCCCTTCACCAGCACAAGATTCCAGCCAGTTTTGCCGGCAACCTGCTCCTCAGGCTCTGTACGGGTACGTCTGCCCAGCAGCATGTAGACATCTCTGCCAACCACAAGTGTTGTTGGCCGCATGATCTTCGTTGCCTTCTTCTCAGCCGCGTCACTTCCCTCCACAAGTTGCGTGAAGAGGAGACTTGTGTCCGCCGCCGAGACGTCCATTGCGCCCTCCGTGATTTTCTTGAGGTGCTTCGACGCAATTCCAGTAAAGGAGCCCGCCTCGCCGTTTTGCTTCCTGCAGTGAGCCTCGGCAACGGCAAAAACATCCTCCCCCACCGCAACAAGGCTGGGGACACGGAGGGAAGTGACCGGTTGAGCAGCGACACCAACGCCTTCCCATGCAGCACCAGGAATATCCGTCGTCCCTGCAAACGGATCCATGGCATTCTCCTGATTAGCGGCTGCAGCGCCACTGTTGCCGCAGCATATCAACAAGCAAAGAAGCAGTAGCGCAGAGGAAAACAGACGCCGGAGCATGTTGGGTCAATCTCTCTCTCTTCCCTCCCTCCCTGCGGTGGATCCGCCCAGGCCGCGACGGTTGTATGCGTGTGTGTGTATTGCTGTTTTTAGCTGCAGAGCCCTCAAGGCAAACAGCAGCGGCAAGCAGCGTTTCGTCCCTTTTCCTTCTGCGTGTGTGTGGAAGAGAAAAGGAAGGCAACGCAGAGGCGGGCCGGCACACCGGCAGAAGAAGGATTTAAGAACGGCACTACCCCACACACTGGCGGCAGCGGCGCTGGGGCCCATACGGCAGCGGTGGGCATCGCCCAGGCCGCAAAAGAAAAAAAGACGGGGATGAGAAATGAATAAACCCCGCAGGACCCCCAAAAAATATATATATAAAACGAACTCACTTCGGCAGGTGGTGTTCCTTCACCTCAAGTGTCCAGCAGCACAAGAGGACCGTGAGAGATGCATGTATATTTTAACACCTGCACGAATAAAAAAACATCGCCCATGCTGCAGGAGCCCACACAACCACACACACATCACGTTTGCAGTTCACGGTGGCAGCAGGCTCGTGCCACATTTGGGCACTCCGTGCGGCGCACAGAAATGCGACCGGCACCGCGTGTGTTTTTGTGGCGGCAGCAAACAGGAGGGGAAAAAGGGGGCGCCGCCCATGGGAACGTGCATGGGGTGGCGAAGCAAACGAAAGGAGAAAAATAAAAGAAAACATTCCTCAGAGCACAGGAGAGAGTCAGGGATTGACCCACAGGGACAACAAGCAAAATGAGCGCACAATGTTTACGCGTCGCCCCTGCCAGGGTGTGTGTGTATCTTTTGCCCCTCACCGACTTACCCAGCAGCACAGGCAAGGGCAGCTGTGAGCAGCAGCAGTAGCAAAGATGCGTCCACAAACGGAGTGGAGGTGGCACTGCGATCCGCAGTATTTGGCACGGCTTTCTGAGTGGCGTTGCTGTTGGTGGCACTGCCGCCCGCTTTGCTTTTCGCGTCGTTCCCATCACTCGGACTGCGGGTGGTCGTCGTCGTCGCTCCTTCTGCTGCCCTGTCGCCTGCCGTCTGTGCTGACGAAGCCGCAGTGCCAACCGATGGCGTTGTAGTTTCCCGACGACCTTCTGCTGATTGTTCCTGACTTCCGGTGGAATCCGACGCACTGCCCGGCTGCCCCCCAACAGCAGCAGTGGAGCCTCCATTCCTCGTACGGTCTCCGTCATGAGTTCGCGCCGAAGATGACGCTGCTGCTGCATTTGCCGGTTGTTGTTGTTGTGGGCCTGCTGGCTGCTGTTGTTCTGTAGATTGGGGTTCAGGCTGCACTTGCGTCGCGGTTTGACTGGGGGTTGGGTACTCACAACCGCCTGACGCGCCCAGTGGATTGTCCGTTGGATTGAGGGTGAGGGTGCCATCTTTGCTCTTCGACAGATTGTGCAGCGCGCTGTCTGCAGCCGCCGTACAGTTCATCGTGAACGCAACAACTTTATTCGTGTCTCCATCTGCTGGGTGGGATGCAGGGCAGTTCCGCGTCAGTGACGTGTCAATGTACGCCGATCCGGCAATGAGGCAGAGGGTATTGCTGCCAGCATCGCCCTCAATGCTCTTCGCACCCGTCACTGCCTGCGGACACTCCCTCCAGGCAGCGGAATCCCCCTTGCCGGCAACGCGCCAACGCAACTTGTTGCCGGTGGCCGGGCACGACACATCCACCAACACGTTCACAACCCCGGTCGGCGCAGCCTCCTCCTCAGCGTCCGCCCCGCAGCAGCAGCCGCAGAGCAGCGCGAGGAGCGCCAAGGCGCACACCGCACGGCGCCGCACCGCCAGCGTCTTCTCCATCAGTAAAAACAGCGGTGGTGGTGGCCGTAGAGTGGCAGAGCCAGTGGGCTGCGAGGCAGCGAAGAAGAAGAAACAGAGAGGGAAATGGGGAGCGCGGTGGGGCACGGCGCAGAGAGTGAGGGCAGGGAGAGGGAGGGAAGAAAAAGGCGGCAGCCCGCTAAGTTCACGCAGCAGCGCCCCGCAGCCGCACGAAAATAAATTCATTCCGCCCCCGCCCCACGCAGACGTCTTTGGCGGTGCCAGGGCATTTGGGAGAAACACAACGTGAACCTAAAAAACAGTGCTGCCGCGAGGCACCACGGGGCACGGCGCCTCCTTCTCCCCGCAGCAGCGCAGCCCGCCGGCTGTGCCTCGTGCCCGCAGGTAAATAAACACACAAACACACAAATGTATATTTTTAAAAAACAGTCCATTCAGGCACTTCCGTAGAAACGTAGTCCGCTGCTGCACTCCGCTGCTCACTTCCCCAACGCCGCCGCCCAAATCCACGGAATTGCGGCAGCTCCGCGCCGCGTGCGTGTTGGAGTGTTCTCCCTGCACGCCGCACACAAACAACACCCCCCACCAACACGCATCGGAAACAGTTTCCCCAGCCGCTTAAAATATACACCTCGTCCTTCACCCACTGCGCCGCGCTGGCGGTAGTGTTGTGCTGCGCATCCGCCGCAGCAAACCGCACGCCCAAACAAACTTCCTCCCCCGCCCTCGGACGAACTCACAAAAC